CCACCACACCCCAAAGGTGCTCTATTGGATTGAGTTATAGTGAATGTGGAGGCCATTTGAGTACAGTGAACTTATTGTCATGTTTAAGAAATCAGTCTGAGAAGATTTGCACTCTATGACATAGCCATAGCCATCAGAAGATAGGTACACTGTGGTCATAAAGGGAAGGGCATGATCAGCAACAAAATTCAGGTAGGCTATGGCATTGACCTGATGCTTTATTGGTAACGGGCCAAGAAAATATCCCCCACACCATTACACCACCACTACCAGCCTAAACCATTGATACAAGGCAGGACAGATCCATGCTTTTATGTTATTGATGCCAAATTCTGGTCCTAACATCTGAATGTTGCAACAGAAATCGAGACTTATCCAGCCTGATCTCACGAGGAAACGTAAGTATTTTACGTTTTGTCAGTTTAGTGGTAAGAGTTCAGTCGTACGAAAAAAATAGGAGGTGTGGCATCGAACCCTGACCCCAACGGTCATTGGGTGATGAGCAAATCGTACTAAATTGTATGAATTAGATTGTACGAATTAGCCACTAAATCAAAAAGTTACAAATTGCCATGAGATTGCGTTGGACTCATCAGACCAGGCAACATTTTTCCAATATTTATTGTCAAATTTTGATGAGCCTGTGTGAATTGTAGCCTCAGTTTCCTGTTCTTAGCTGACAGGAGTGGCACCGTGTGTGGTCTTCTGCTGCTGTAGCCCATCTGCCTCAAGGATATATGTGTTGTACATTGAGAGGTGCTCTTCTGCACACCTTGGTTGTAAAGAGTGGTTATTTAAAGGGGTGGTCAAGAATGTCATTTTAAGGCTTGATTGATGATAAGATGCAAAACAATGTGTGCTCATGTTTCCTTTGAAGGAAATCACGTTATTATTTTTTTTTATAAATCTCACTTTGATTAAACACAGCTATACAGCTAACATGAAAACGACTGAAAGGCGTCCTCTAAAAGGCCAGCCCTCAAGTGACTTTGATTGGTCATGTGTCATAATGTGCTGTGATTTGTGGATCGGCTCTACGTCTAGCCCGTACAAGCACGCGCTTTTGTGCTGTGTTAAGAGTACAGTGTAAACCTCATGCCAGCTCTCAAAAATAACATCTGACAAGTGTCTGTAACGATTGAAAATGGGGTGCGGCTCCTTTAAGAGAGATCGCCTTTGTGTCTGCGTGTATGTGCGTGTGTCAACAACAGTTTGTAGACGCCTGTAAAGAGAAGCGCGTGTAAGCGGGACCGATGTTTATTATGCTCGATGCTCGGATTGATAGAAGAATGAAGCACAAGATGGTGGATGCAACCTGTGTGAGCCTTGATTGTGGAAGTGTGTGTGTGTGTGTGTGTCACACAACCAGTGATCGCTTTCCAGAGATCGCTGGTTCTCACACGAACTCAAAACTACATTTCCGCATTTCCCAGGACTACATTTTCATACATGCACTGCTCCCAAACACGCACGCCTGTTCATTCATCTATCCTGATTGCAATCACCAGCTGAACCTTGTCACAGACTGATATCACTCCATCTATAAGCCACTCATTCACGCTTCCAGTTTGCCGAGTCTTGTTTGCATCTTTGTGACATTACAACGCGTTTCCCTGTCTTGTTTTCTTCGTGTTAGACCTTAGCCTTGTCACCCTTGTTCTCTAGTTTAGCCGCCTGCCTTTCGACCTTTTGCCCGTTTATCGTTAATGATTCTGGACTGTCTATAAATACCCGTTTGCACCTGATGACGACTGCTTGCCTGACATTGAATAAACCTGCATATTGGATCTTACCTTCTGTTGTGAGTGTCACTCCCCCCAGTCGTAACAGTGTGTGTGTGTGTGTGTGTGTTTACAGCGGTTTGACTGATAAATATGAATTTGTAGCTAAATCATTAGCGGTGCCAGCACCTCATTTTAATTTTTTATTTTTATCCATTTCTCAGACAATAATTTTTTGGTGTATTTAAACAAAAATGTTTTGTTGAATAGTTCTGTCCATTAAAATGGTCACCAAACATCTTTAGCAATAGAAAGATACTACATTTCAATTCAAATGAGTTATTGCAACACATTTGCCCTGTAATTAAAAATATCTCCCCAATATATTAATTTGCACATTTTTAGACTGTAATCTTGTTTTTTTTTTGGATTAGTTGCATTTTTTTGCCATTCATACCGACTAATCTAATTTGTACAAATACATTATTGTAAAGCACTGTAAAAAATATATTAATTTACTGTAGCAGAGAGATCTGTCAGGGGTGTACACATTTATGCTGAGCACTTGTTATTTAGTTTATTAATATATAATCATAGTATTATTGATCATAACTATTCCTATAATTTAAAAGATTCTGCAGCCCTTGTCTTGAGATAACAAATGGAAATATCTAAGCGATGCCTACAGAGGCATTAAACCCATAATTAGTATCGACTGCCACACAGCTGAGTCCTTTACCTTTCTAGGAATCGTCATTTCTCAGAAGCTCAGATGGCAAGGTAACATTATCTTAATAAAAAGGCACAACAAGTGCTGAACTCCCTGACACGGTTGGAAGATCATCATCGTATGTGTTCTCACCTAATCCACAACTGTCATAACCGTATGAGTCGGCCATACAGTCCATTATATGCTCAGTCAGCTAAGAAAATCATTGGCTCTGGTTTGAATCGAGATTTAGGAAGTGGGCAGTTAAGATCTTTGCCAACTTATTGCTTGCATAACCATATTTGTTAACTGGTGTCTACCAACAGTCAACTGAATGTTTTAAGTACCTGACCACATTCACATTCACATTCACATTGCAGCTTTTATTTTTCTTAGTAATTTTTAATCCTGGAAATTTCAGGAGCACATGTGAAACAATAATTTGGGGATTCATTAACATTTATAGTGTAGATGTGGTCTGTGTTTTTTATTTTATTTATGTATGTATTATATGTATACAAAGTCAGAATTATTAGCCCCCTTGTTTATTTTTTCCCCCAATTTCTGTTTATCAGAAAGGTTTTTTTAAACAAATTTTGTAAACATAATAGTTTTAATAACTCATCTATAATAACTGATTTATTTAATCTTTGCCAAAATAACAGTAAATAATATTTTACTATATATTTTTCAAGACACTTCTATACAGCTTAATATTACATTTAAAGGCTTAACTAGGTTAATTAGGTGAACTAAGCAGGTTAGGGTAATTAGGCAAGTTATTGTATAACAGTGGTTTGGTCTTTAGACTATCAAACAAAAATATATAAATAAAATAAAACATAATAAAATAAAACAAATAAGAATTTCTCAAGAAGAAAAAAGTATTATCAGACATACTGTGAAAATATCCTTGCTCTGTTAAACATCATTTGGGAAATATTTAAAAAAGAAGAAAAAAAAATCAAAGAGGGACTAATAAATCTGACTTCAATTGTACATATGCGTGTATGTATTTATGTATATATGCATGTATGTATGCATACATGCAAGGGTTTCAACCTGTATAACACTCACAGAAGCACTGCACCGAAACATGATCTGTAACATCTGAAGAGAATCATCAATGATTTAAAACACAATCCTCATGTTCTCTCTCCCTCCCTCCCTCTCTCTCTCTCTCTCTCTCTCTCTCTCTCTCTCTCTCTCTCTCCCTCCCTCCGTCTCTCTCTCTCTCTCTCTCATACACATGCATGCAAATAAATACAAGGGCTTATATTGTCCTTTGTTCATCTTCATTTGAGAACTGATTTTTTTTTTCCTGGAGAATTTTAGTCTATTGAAAATAGCACATTTCTCTATGCGTTTTGAAAAATTCTGTAGCACACTATATTAGTTGTCTACTTCATGTGTTGATTATTTAACAAGTGGTGGGTGAAGTACTTTTAAAAGTAATATATTAGAATCTTAAACCAATATTAAATCTTAATTTATAAAAAAATAACAACATAACACATACTTTCACAATACCTTCCTTAAAAATAACACATTTAGTTAAAGTCATTGAAGATATATTATATTATATTATATTACTTTTAAAAGTAAAGTCAGCACTGCATTTAAACATTACCTGTAATACTTGGTATAAAAATTCGGATGATTACTTAGGCTATTACTAGGCCCACACAGAAACTGCGTGCGCAATAAATCCGCAGATTTTTAGCCCATCATTGAGTCTATTAAATAGACTAGTGTAAATGTGTAAACTTGTATTCATTCAGTTTTTAAATTAAATTCAGTAACATTATTAACACATAAAAAAATGTTAATTTGATTTATTTACAATACAGTTTGTAAAGTAATATTTTTGTCTTTTGGTATATATGAGAGACTTGCTTTGTTTACCAAATAAGTGGATCTAATTAGATTTGTATTGTAAACATTAAATAAAAGTTATTAACGATATTATTTTACATTTTTTTTAGTAATGATGCTTCCAAAATCATTCCACATAAATCACATTATACAAAGTTTTTTTTTTTTTACAGACGTCTGCGCAGAAATAGAAAAAAATGTCCGCAGATTCTGTCTGGCCCTACTTATAACCTATATAAACAGCCATTACACACTCATTTAAGCCTATATTGTCTAGATGACGTGAAAGCTGAATTTTCCCCTTTTATGATCTTCGGAAGTTGAGTCAGAGATCTCTCCCGGTCTTTATATCGTCGTATTTATTGTCTAGATGACGTGAAAGCTGAATTATCCCCTTTTATGATCTTCGGAAGTTGACTCAGAGATCTCTCCCGGTCTTTATATCGTCGTATTTATAGCGCAGCTCTGCCTAAATAGAAGCGCAGCGGTGACGCGCCTTAAATGCAAATATACCTGTGTCGAAAGAGCAAACAACGCACCTGACGCTTCCCATGGGATGCGAGGGAAGGCCGAAGTCTCTCTTTAGTTCTGGCGTGCACTCTGCCTCGGCTCGACCACTCCCTGCACTGACTGTGAATTGAGTTTTCGCAAATCCCGCCCTCCCCGGAGTTCTGACACACAACGCCCCATCTCATAGCCATTGGAAAAACCACCTCGCCTGTTGTGGCAAGCGGGTAGTTTTAACCGGCAAACACCATTTGTGGATATATGTAAAAGTGTCAGAGGCTCGGGAGAGCGAGGGGGACGTCAGTTTCACACTCATTCGGACACCGTGTTCACCTGGACAG